TTGTATTATATTATTATTTATTTATAATATACATATAATTTATATATATATATATATATATATATATTATATACACACACAGAAAAACAAACTGAGAATATCAACATTCCGATTGCACTTAACACCAATCGACGAAACCTCGGAGATATCTGTGGTATGCGCTCGTGCTCATAATGATACGTGTACAACAATAATTGTCTCGAGTCGACAACCTTGCCCGATATATTTATACGAGACAAAAAATCATATATTTCTCTCGGTCAACACGTTTTGAATGCGCCGGAAAATTTGTCATTTTTACGATGCATCCGCCATCCATGTGGCGACCGTTGGTTCGTAAATCGTTTTAACACATATTATATACAATTATATTATATTGTACAACACATACAAACATATTGCACATATTATTATATTATGCTTATGCACTATTAATAACATTTTTGTAAAACTATTTGTACAAGTAAAAATACAAGTATTCGGATACTACAGTAATATAATATTATTTTTATGTACCTATTTTGAAAACTTATTTTTATATTTTATGCAAATTGTATTTTATATAAATAACAGCTTTTTATATTTTTCAAATAAAAAGTTATTATTAAAAAGTCGATGAAAGTATTAGTCTAAGAGTTTTCAGATACTAGTATTTAAATATATGCTTTTAAAGAACTCGAAATTGTTTTTTATGATGCCAACATTGAAACACAGGTATTATTATTTGTTAATACCATTTCATTTACCAATTATTTTTTACGCGTCCGAAAGTCTATTATGATATACCTATATGGGTACACTTGACGATAATATCCTCGTGCACACAGTTTTTTTAATGTTTTACTTCAAAATTCATAATTTTAATTCGTACTAGCCATCCTCGTTTAAAAATCAACGAACCCCGCCGCCGTCGTCGTTAAAAATATAATAAAATACAAAATTATTATAAGATATTATAATCATGGGAGACACGTGCGGTAATATACACGCGTTATTTTGCATCACATAACATATTAATTTTATAGGTACGCACGTGGTACGCTGGTATACGATATGATATTATTATCTATGGTTGTGTACAGCAGACGGAAGACTTAATTTGTTTTCCGGTGCTCGTTTTACTCGGCCAGCGGACAGTAGTCTTTCGTCTCGAATTACTTTTAAATACGGCGAAATCGGTTAATGGTGGACGCGATTGTGCGAAGAGTATGAACGTTGGCGCCTCATTAAGCACCCGAAACGAGCACGTACCGACATGTTTCTACAGGTTCATCGAGCGGATAAAATGCAGTGGGGAGAAAAACAAACAATTAGGTACCCCTACTTGGCTATACTTATAACGATATCGCGCAATAAATCGGTAGGTAGTATCTATCTAATATATGGTTGAATACCGGTATTTTAGGTATACTAGACCAGCGGTTCCAAAACTTTTACGACCACGGCACCCTTAAAAAATTGTATGTGTTTCGCGGAACCCTAATATCTAATCCAACTCAACTACAATTTTTCTAAATAAAAAAAGGAAAATCAATTCTCTAAACTCTCAAGTCTAAATAATATTTAAATGATACTGTTAATGACTTTTCATTATTAAACTTAGTTTAAAAAAAAATATTCAAACAAAAATATTTTAAATAACAAACATTAAATAAACATAATTTTCTCAATAGTCTCATACATCTGGCGGAACCCCTGACATAGTCCCACGGAACCTTAAGGTTCCGCGGAACACACTTTGGGAAACGTATACTAGACACATCAACGTATTTAATTGTGTATGTATTACAATCGAGTCACGATAACTCGAATTTTTTTCATGTCCCAAGTGTTCGTATCTGAGAAACGTAACACGGAACATTTTCAAAGGAAATTAATTTGACCTTAGCCATCTTCCTCAAACAATGAGATACAGTTTTGGCGTTTTCCTCCAGTGTCCACTTTACACAATACAATAAATACGTTTTGACCCATTTTCCTCCAATAAGTAATCATGAATAAAAATTATGTTTATGTTTTATGTTTTTCAACACAACAACACAAATAAACATTTAAAAAAAAAGAAATTTCCCTATGAATTATTAACAAGTATGTACATATATTTTTTTTTATATAATTTCAAGATATTCCAGCAACAAAACCATTATCCATACATGTTCAACGAAAATAAATATTAAACAGATGAATGATTATTTTAGTTTTTGTATTACAAATATCTTCGTTTTTAAATTTAATAGTTGCATTTTCGATTGCTTAGCGTCGAAGCACGAGGCCCTGTGCACCCGGAGGAACGGTCCTGGCCCCTGGTATCGTGTATGATTTATTGCTGTAACATATGTTTATACAATACCACCTTCGTACCATTAAACCTTATACAGGAGTAATTAATAATTATCGACGTAGCAACGTATAGGTATATGTACCGCTGCTGCAGCTGGTCGTCCGTCGTTTAGGGTTGGTCGAGATTCGGCAGTAAAGTATTATAATATCGTAACCCCGTCGGGGATGATGTACGCGGCCCCAAAATGACCTATACTCGTTTAACTATAATTATATGTGCGGAATATGTATCCGATATTCCGATTAATACCATACCACGTAGGTATTAAAGCATATTTTTTTATGGAGTCAACCTCTGCGCGTTTTACTGTCATAATAGATCGCTGCGTCGTTTCGTTTATATGTGCAGCAGTAGAGAGAGTGGAAAAAAATAACAATAATACCTCGAAATATGTCGTGAATACGAGTGTGAGATACAGAAAAGTCGAACGATGAGATAAGAATTCACGGCACTGCGTCGGCCTTGAAACGGAGGGAAAAACAGAATCCCGTTCGAACGGTCGTCGACGACCCTCGCCCTACTATACTCGTATAGACAACAAAATATAAATGGGGTCAACGCGGGTCGGACGGGAGTGAGAGTACGCCACACATACTGCTTTAACGACTGTCGGGATAATATTATATTTTATTATGTTGGGTATACAACAGTGTGTCGTCTAGGGTGTTATATAGCAATGGTCTCCGGCGAGCGCAAATAATAATAATAATATTTTCGACGCTACACCACGCTGTGTCGCTGACCACTGTATACACACCATAGTAGATATATACAAATACAATGATTATACATAATAAATACGTGTGTGTGTCGCACTCAGGGAAACTGCAGCAGATGACCCCCCCCCTCCCCTCAGAGACAATTTCACGGATCTTCGGCGGAAAGTGATCGCTAAACAGTAATTTTGTATCGCATGACGCCCGACGTCCAGGAAGTCTTCTCTCAATCACTCACACAGTCATACACATTTATGGCCAGGATTTCGATGCAAAGTGCATTATTTTCTGTTGCTCTAGACGTCCAGAGCAATGCATTGCAAGTACATAATTTGTTTCATGAAACAGAATAAACAGATGCTTCAAACATATTAAAACCTATACTATATTATTTTATATTCGCTTCAATAAGAAATAGTAGGTATCTGTATAAGTTATAAAAACTTTTGAGTTTTTGATGTCTTACTCGAACAAAATAAAACAATTAATTTGTGAGTCAGTTGGAAATATATCGCGATCGCAATTATTTTCAGTATACAATTAATTTGACGTGCTTGGCTCTACTCTACGTTTGGTATTTTTTCTTTGTATTATTGTTGGTATAGTTAAGAGTTTAAGACAAAGAAGTATTAAAAATGCCGAAAGTTAAGCCACGCCGTTTTCCCACCGCTTGCGTGGTTGCGTGTCTATAAAAAAATTGTTGGCAATTTTTTAATGCATTTTTGGTTATTTTATAAAGTGGATTCGAGATAATTTTTAGGGCATTTAAATCCGGGCCCTACACATAAAAATACTATACAGAAACAGAAGTCGGTAACGAGCTAGCTCAAGATCCGCGAGCGTAGAGAACGGTTTGGGTTGACGATTTGCCAAAACGAAACCGACCATCAAGGTCGTGCGGAGCAGCGAGCGACGAAGAGTAGTTAAACGCGGTGTGCGAGGAGCGGGAGAGACCGAAACGGACAGATAAAAAACCGCGCGCGACTTTGCGTCGTACACGATATTATTACGATAATAATAATTAAAAGATCTCGCCGCAGTCGTCGTCGACGTTTTTCGCCAAAGCGCACACACTCGAAAAACGTGCATCCGATATAATAATAATAATAATAATAATAATAATAATAATAATAATAATATAAGCGCACACCTATTCCAAGTACGCGCGCACACCAACACACACGCTGGCACTGTGCGCACACACACGACGACGACGACATTATAACCGGTTCACCTTGACGTCATCGCGTAGAGAGCTGCCGTTGCCGCCGCTATATAATACGAGATTATACATTTATTATATTATATACATGACAAACCGTATAATGCCATAATCGTGCCGTTTATCGCGAGCCCGTTTTTTATTTTTCCCATTTTTTTTTTTCCGTTTGACGACGACAACAAACCGTTTACATAACTACAACATTACTATAGGTACACTCTTTTCGGCAACTTCGATTGTTGTGAGTTATGTCTTTCGAGCCACCCCTTATTGTGTAAGGACGACATCCCAAGCTAGAAAAGTCAAGACGATCACTGAGTGTAACCGATGGGGTATAGAAAATGAAATAAAAACAATGTTGGTTTTTCTAGAAAATAATTTTAATAAAATTTTTTTCATAAATAAAACATCACTTAGTCAAAAAAAAAATCACACAAAAGCCTTAACGATAAAAATAATCTTAAAATCACAATAATCATTTGCACACAATAAATTTTTTCATAAATTACACTTACAATAATAAATTAATATCTAATATAAGATATAGTTATATAAATTCATATAATCAAAAATATATTATTGTTGATTTTTTAATATTTTATTAACGTAAGAATAAAAAAATTGCTTTGTTACAAGAGCACCTAGGAACATGACTGATACACTTCAAGTTGTCTGCAAAAAGAGCGGAGGGATTGACAAATCACAAGACAAAAGTTAAGTCCAGTCAATACAAATGAATATTAATGGATATACAATATTATTTTATAAGTATAGCTTTACAAAAAAATTACATCTAATCATTAACTTTGGCCTATTTATTGTCTGGTAAAAAGCTTAAAATATCAGTTAAGTTATTGCGTTGTTAACATGTACCCTTAATTCGGTACACAAAAATAGTATAATCTATAATGGTGAAGGAGATAAACTTTAAATATACATATAAAAAGGCAACACTGGTTTTTTTCACAACAATTTCATCGTAGAATATTGTTAAGAACATTAAAAAAAAATATATTATAATATAAAAATATTTTGTGCATTTCAATAATTTTATAAAAACATTCTTGGAATAGGTATCTTTAGTACTCAATAACATTTTGAGCATAACATGTACAGTAATTTATGGCTTGAGTACAATTAAAAGGCATCAAGTGCAAAATTATTCTATTGCTACTAATTTATTTTGATAAGTTTAGTGTTAGTTAATAATATTAAGGTCCATACATACTGTTGGGGTAGATGGTATGGTACCGATAAAACCATGATCACAATGTTATTGTTACAGTGACCGTATCAGTACTGTGCCAGTCTACTGCAACAGTATGTATGCACCAATATTCAGAATAAATAATACCACAATACAGAGTAAATACAAAATAATAGACAAGTACAATAATACAGTATGATAACCTAGTAATTGCACATTCATAATACATAAATAAATAGGTAATTGATTTGATTTTATTTTTAAATTACAATTCAATGAATTAATCATAATAATGTACCTACAATAGTATACATTATTACATACATGAAACGTATAAAAAAAAATATATTAAAATAGGCTACAAAGAAATTGAGCAATTTTTGAAGCAATAATATCGGTTCATTAAAAATTTTGTAGAAAAATATGAAAAACTCACAGACAGGCAGGAAGTAGCACCCAAATTCAGGATGTTTTCAATAAGTTCAACTGTGTTCATTCTTAACTGTAAATTAAAAGAAATCATGTTATTAACTTATTATTAATTAATTTCTTCTAGTGCTTAAATAACAAATGTTAATTAATATAACTAAGGTTTTTGTTCCAAATAAATATTCAATTTATACTTCAATTTTCTGTTAGAGCACCTATAGATAAAGTAGGTACCTTAATTTTGTCTGCATCAGACCAAAACAATAGAAATACAGTTTAGGTTAGGTAACCAAGTAAATATGTAGCTCAACTGTAACTTAATTTTTAGTAGGTATTCTAATCAGAACTCATATCAAAATGGCTTTTAATTTCATATGGTGAGGCGTTTTGAGTAGATAGGCAGCCAGGCAGGTATTACTCCCAGTGTACAAAAGTCAGTTAAATACCCACTTGTTAAATCTAGTAAACAGACTACCTATTTTTACAATAGATACATTTATTTTCTTTGATAATTATTGATATTTAAATGCTAACTTAGTGAAGATGTGAACAACAGTCACTATCCAATAAATGTAAACTATAAATCATTAAAAAAATTATTAAGTAGGTATCTACGTAACGAAAAACTACCAATCTAAAATAGATATTAATTAAAATATTTGTTTATTTCAAGCAAAACGGGTTCACCCAAAACAATAATTTATAATATTCAATATTAAAAACACAAAACACATATTTGAGTGAAAAGTTAAAATAATTAGGTACCTAAGTATAATTTGTTTATGAACTTACAGGTCACAGGCAGTTGCCTGCAAATTCACATCCATTATGCATGTGTTCAACAACCGTTTGTTTTAATTGACATATCTGTTCCAAGAGTCTGTTCAATACTGTGGTAAGTTCAGTATTTTCATTTTTCAGTACTTTAACTTTATCTTCTAGCTTGGCAATACGCTCCAATTTTCTTCGACGGCATTTAGATGCAGCAACTCGATTCCTTTGTCTTTTTCTTTCGAGTTTGATTTTTTCTTGGGATTCCATGTTGATTGGTGACATGGGTGGCGACGAAGACGTGACACTGGGTACAGTTTGAGGTTCTTCTTTGATAACATGGTGAGGTATAATATTGGAAAAATCATTTGAAGTCATTAACACAGAGTACTGGGGTTCTGATTGGTATTCCGAAGAATTACTACCACTGCTGGTCATTGGTATTTCTACTTGAGTGGCACTGTTAGAATCGTTGTTGTGATGTAGACATTTGAGCGCTTCGACAAACGGCTGTACATACATTTCTTGTTCCTCGGTCACAGACTTTGGAAATAGGGACGGTGTGGGTGTGCTGATATGGCCAAGGGCGGTCTGTTGGGACAAGTAGAACCGTTCTAACTCAGGAGAGTTAAATTTGAGCATGCGTAAGTCGGGAGAGGTCAACATGGGTGGCAGGAGTTTCAGTTTCTTAGCTGAGTTCTCGTTATTGCAAGAGTTTAAGTCCAACGTCATCGGTCTCTTCAGGAAGTTGACTTCATTGGTGTGGCTTTCGACTTTGGGGATGAGCTGATCGTCGTAGAACGCTTCGTCCAACATTATGCAGCTGGACGAGTTATTTACCATTTTTGTTACTATGACACAAGTGTCCGCGCTAACAGTTCTTTTCGCCTTTTTCGCACACGATTTATGGAGAACCGTGCGATGTATTATTGGTATTAATGTTTATTTTATAAACTAAATATAAAAACCAACAAAGTGTGACGTTATAGTAAATAAAATAAAAATAAAAAAATAAAACGTATCAACAATAAAATAAATGTGTGCGGTGTGATAACACGGTGCGTATAAAAAACAAACGATCAAGTGATTAATCGCGGCGGACAACGGAGCACGAACGACACGACGGAATGGCACACGGTACGCGAATGAATGAACGGCGGACGGCAGGTCGGCAGACCGTTCGGGCCCCCCCGTAGTGGTCGGCGATGAGTCATCGCGTTATTTTCGGAAAGTAGTAAAGTACGTCATTTTCTGGCGTTCTCATTGGCCCGACGGTCGACAGTGTCGACACATAGTGGATGCGGAATCGCCGAGACACTTAATCGCCGCCACCGCCACCGCGGTTCGTGGCTGGCATAGAGCGGCGGCGGAGGGGATTTAGCGGTTACGCGATACTCTCCGGCCGATGAAGCGTGTGAGAAAAGTAGGTATACTCGTCTATGACGACGACAATCCCGAAACGGATTTCGGACACTGTGATCATGATGAAATATAAAAATTATATAATTCCCGTGGTCACTGGTCCGTATCCATGTGCCACTCTTTGCTTTGATCGTTTGATTTAAGCGATTGTTGATCTCCGATCATCATACTAGCAGGTTGGGTCAGAGACCTAGGGCTAAGGTTTTGTGACAAAATAAATCGTTAAAAAAAGGTTTATCATAGCCAAAAAAAAGCTCTATCTTGAGCTTAAAAAATACAAAGATATGAATATGTATAGGCACTTCAAAATACATAGGTACGAAATAAAATTACTTGCTGTTTAATAATTTTATTGAAACT